AATAATCTATGTACAGTACAATTAAAATGTGCAACGCTTTGCTCAACTTTTTCTTTGTAATATAGGCCACGACAATTTAGACAATTCTTTATTCAGTTTTTTAAAGTTGGCTTTCGAAAAATCAAAGCGAATATTTGGTTCGTATGTTTGGACATCGCAATTTTGACCATCGTTTATAATTTCGTAAGATATCTCAATAGCAGGGTGGTAGACATCTTCGGGCAAAACTAGTGGGTCACATTTATTTACAGCCGACTTAGATGCATCATCAACATAAACAAGATCTAATACTTTGCCAAACTTATTGCGAAGTACATTAACTTGATTCAGGCAGAGTTCTACCATCTCCTCTAAAAATACGTTGTTGCACGGGCTAGACGAGAAAGGTACAATATCATTGTCAATGATGTTCCATGATACATTTGGTAAATTAAAGTCACCCAACACAATCAATGAATCAGAGGGTTTAATCATTGAATTAATTGATTTCAGTAAAGATACATGTTGTGAATACACTAAGTCAGATCGGGGAGGAATATAGCATAGAGCTAAGTAAGTAAACCCCCTTCCAACCTGAACACGAATGCATTTGAATTCTGCAGATTCAATGTGTGGAAGACTAACTTCTTCAGATGGTATTGAAGAGTCTACGGCAAAGAGTACGCCACCGCCGACTCTGTCCTACCGATCTTTTCTGTAGATATGATAATTATTTGAAAGAATCTCTGAATTAAAAGTGTGACGTTTGAGCCAAGTTTCGTTTTTCGAGAGTCGAATCGTATCGAAAATTTAGCGTCATTGCCTAAAATTTCCACTCGACTAGTGTATTAAAACGGAAGAACTTGGCAGCACTGCATAGTTTTCGACAATTTTCGTCGTTTCCTTATTTCAGCACGACAGTAGACAATGCTAATGTTGTCGAGTCGTACAATTCAGCCTAATTTACGACTTACGCAATGAGGCTGATTATCTTTAAAAAAATAACAGTTTTCAAGCATCCGCTCATGGACATTGTAATCTAGAGTATGTAAAACATGTTTTTTCATTGTCACGCCATCTAAAAACTGACGTGAGACATAGATATTCACGGATTGATTTTTTTTTGTTTACTCATTATGATGGACTAGGAAAATAGTTACGAGAGTGGTCGAGATGGGCGGTCTAATTTTCTTTTTCATATATATTGAAGTTTTTCCCATCCACCTTGGTTAAAACCACCTGCCACAAGTCGCCACTGTAGTTTGGACATCAGTTTTTATACGCGATTCTTAATTTTTTTATGTTTAAAAGATTTAAATTACGTAAAAAAATATTTCTGTCAAGATTTTGATGTCTTAAAGATTGGATGTTTTACTAGTAGTACTATATATTAGAGTGCTCATCCATGGGCCTCTCATTATTGAATGGGCACCCCTGCCAATTGGGTAACTTTCCGAAGAAACCCAAGAGTCAAGGAATAAGGATATTAAAAAATATCGGCTGCTTGTATCCTCGGCCCCTGTCATTTCAAGTTTAAACCAACCAAAACAAAATAATAAACTGTCGTCAGATGCCATTAAATTATTATCAACTGTTGTAAATGCGGATGCGGAATTGCCATCAGTAAATATAGATACGAGATTGGATACTTCAGATGACTGCGAGTCTGACGGTGTATAAAATTGTTATCTTAAAAATATATTCCTGTACCAACAAATATGTATGTCTTGTTTATTGATTCATTCAAAATCCCGCAGTTCCCGTGTAAATTTGAACATCAAGATTTTTAGAAACAAACATTAAGACCTCGTTGGTGTTTGTCCGAGCTTCTCTTCCGATTTGTGGATTGCGCCTTGATGTTGGTGCACAAAGGGGAGGGACCAACAGTTTTACGCCGAATCCGAACGGGGATTTTATTTTTATGAGAAGCTGTTCTTCATGGCTGAATATACTCGGGGGTTTGCCATTGCCTGCCAAAGGGCGACTTTATTACAAAAAACTTGTTTGTTTCTTATTTTTTAATGTTGGTCGGAAACTGGGCTTGAACCCAGGACCTGCGGAATGATAGCGTATATTGCTAACCGCTACATCACATTATATAACAAAAAAGCCGAAAACATGACCTTTTTCACTTAACTACCTTAGTTTTGCTAAAAATCTGATTATTTTAAGCGTACACAGCCATTATGGATCCGCCATTTTGAATTTCGAAATTATGTGGTGAAATTTAAAACCAGCCACCAAAATAAAGACGAATACACAAGGTTTGATTACAATTGTACCACGCTTTGAATTTTGGCCAGCTTTTTCGAAAAATTGGCCACTGTGCGCTGGTTTTTTTTTGTAGTGTATTAAATTTGTCATTGTTCTCTCCCTTCGAAATTGTTTCCAGGCCTGATTTTTTCACGTATGAGATCAGCAATTTCTGTGTTAAACCACGCTGGGCTATTATTTCGGTTGTTTTCATTATTCCGTGTAATTGGTATCGATTCCTTTGCTGCTTTACAAATAATTTTATTGATTAGTGCTGCCTCTCTATTAACATTACTAGAGCAAGTAATTTGTGCGGAATATGTGTTTGCCTTAAGAGAAAACATTGGCCAGTTCGCTTTCGTGTCCAGAAACTTTGAGATAAACTGTTTTTTGTTGCAGGTGTAATGATTTGTTATCATTATTGGGAAATGGTCCCAAGTTTCTGGTGGGAGATATGTCCATTTCAAGGAACCAGAATCTCTGGCTGGCCATGGAAACATCCACTGCCGTAAGCGTCCCTCTGGTATTTAGCAGCGTTGGTGAGCCATCATTAAGAATTACTAGTTCCCGGTCGTTACAGAAATTTTCCCAGATCGTTCCCCCATAATGTATTATGCGCATTTAGATCACCACATATTATTTGATGACCTTCCTTTCTACCAGTTTGCGCGTTTGGCTGATTGTTAAATATCTCTTCCACCATATCCGTTGTTAATCTGACATCTGTTTCTTTGTAAATATTAGTAATATACAGGATTATTCCATTATTTATTGTGATTGTTTGGTGTAATAGATTATTTTGCGATGCTTCGTATTGAGTAACGTTCATATTGTATTTAGCGAATATTGTGATTCCAGATTTTGAAGTGGTGTAGTCTTTATTGTGGAAAAATACTCTGTATCTTGGTAGGAATAACATGTTTCTATTTTTTTGCACAATGTGATTTTCTTGGAGCAGGATAATATCTGGGTTGTGTTTGCAGATTAAACGTTCAAGCCCAAATTTATTGTTCACAAAGCCTTGGATATTCCATTGCAAAAGTTTTATATTTGTTACAACGACCATGTAAATATTTAATTATTTTTATTTTCTTTGATGAGCAATGTTTTTTTATAGGAATTTGGTGAGATTATTGCTTTAATTTCTGGATATTTCTTAAATAGATGAGATGTCGGTGATGTTGATGCATTTTGTGGCAAATATGTTTGTGATGCTATGGAAGTTAGATCAACCATTTCGGAATTTGTTTCCTCCGTATAAGTTGCATTGCTGACAGCTGTTTCATTGATTTGTGTTGCTTGAATATTTACAATATTTGGTAGAACGTTCGGAGTTGTGATTACTGTGTTAGATGTGAAATTTTCATTAATCTCATTTATATTGTTGCAAGATTCACTATTTGTTTTGTGTTCTATTGTTGTTTTTGTGGATGTAGATCATGAGCGGATGAATTTATTGTCGTTGTTGTTGTTGTATGATTGGGTGGGGTTTTGGTAGCTTCGGAAAAAGTTTTTCGCTTTTGATTATATGGTAATATTTTGTGAAAGTCGGGATTTTGGTTAAACAGTTTCCAAGCTTCTTTAGCTGTGCACCTTTAAAAAGGTTTCGCACGTTGAATCGGAAGATGAGTGAGTATCGACGTTACAATTTATACAGAAAATGCGATCACAATTCTGATGTGGAGTTGGCTTTGCACATACTTTACAATTTTCAATATTTCGACAATACTTTTTTGTGCGCCCAAGGTTTTGACAGAGGCACCTCAAAGGATTCGGAATGTACTCATAAACTTCCACTTTTTCCCATCCTATATTCAACTTTTCAGGGCGGTGTATAAGATCGAAAGTTATGATAGCGGCCCCTGTGGGAATAAGGTTATCATTTTCTTTTTTGAGTATCTTTTTGACCGATATGACTTTTTGGTCGGCTAAGTGTTTGGTTAGCTCTTCATCGGAAATTTTTATAATTTTCTTAGAATATATTCTGCCTTGGGAGGAGTTCAGATTTGTGTGTGATGTGATTTGGACTGGAATCAAGTCAATGTATGATGCCTTCATAAATTTTTGTGCTGCTTTGAGGTTATTTGTTTTTATCAAAAGGTCGCCCGATTTCAATTCAGTAACTTCAGTTTATTCTTTAGATATGTGTTGTAGGCCTTTCTCAATCTGAAAAACGTTATGACCTTTCCAACTGTGTCCATATTTTGAAAATCGGTTCAATCGTTTTCAAAATATAAGCTTTTGAAAATGTTGGAAATTCCACGTTTAGCCCCCTAGCGCCGCCCCTGTCAATTTGCACCAAAAAAAAGTTTCCCATTAAACTCAGCAGAAAGGGGTACACCACGTCCACGTTTTCTTTTTTCTCTAGGTCAAGGGTCGGTATTCTTTAGGTATGCCCTTTGTGTCGATAACAGTAGGGAATAAATGAGTATAAATAGGGTACTCACAGTTTTATATTATCTACTGTGTTAATTTTGCCACCTGCGCATGAATCACGTATGACGACAATCGTCTGAACGATATCGTGTCGAGATTGTCTGGCTTCATAAAAATCAAAAATTGTTTGATCGTTTGTGCGATATCGTCAACTCGATTCCAGGTTTGCTTCACGTAACAGTAACAGTAACAGTAACACGTAACAGCAACA